TACGGAGATTGACACCACAGGTGTTGTCTCCGACACCGGAAAGGAGAAATGGGGCTGACTGTCTGCAACTTCGGGGGAGTTTGAAAAGCCAAACCCTGATCTGAAATTTGCACATGTCCCTTTGTCAGTGGAGCTGATCCAATAGCTGGTGAAGTCAATGCAAATCTTTTCATGATGAAATTGTGAACCCATTTTTATGGAATTAATTTACAGAGTAAATGGTAGGAGCTCTTTAGGTGGGGCAAACAACACCGGCAATGCAAATGCCAAAAACGCCAACACAAAACATGGCGACTGCAGCACATCCGGGAATTAATTCTAAGCTGGAACCTGACCTTGCCTCTCCCCTGCTAATGAAATCAACAGAACTGCTCACACGAGTGTACGGGCGGCCGAAGCTACTGTACAAAAGGACAAAGCCCATTTCTGAAAGCGGAGAACAGAGATATCAGGCGCTGATTGTCAAAAAGGGCCTTCTAAAATGTGTTCTCAAGATGGACAGCCATTTGCGAGATAGGATCTCATTTTTCTCCATAGCTTTCACGAGGCCAATGAAGCATGGAGTGGGAACACTGGTGACCATCTGGCCATTCAGAGCCCATCAGTTTGTTATGACATCAAACACATAATAAAGCACAATAGATGGTAGACGAGATAAAGAAAGAGAGGGCTTTGATTCATTTTCTTTACAGCCACTGACACCCCCGCTTCTCCCACCCATCCCATACGAACCCCCTCCCTTCTGTAGTTAGACACAGGCTGCTCGTCCCAGCCCCTCGCACGATTTTCACTTGCAACACGCCACAACATGATAGTCAAATGTCTGTATTGGGCTCCCAGAACAAAATGGAAACTTTCCCGTGCAGGGTCTTAACAAACGAGAGCAAAGCACTCGAAAGGGACAAGGAAAGGCAGCGAGAGACAGACAGAAAGAGTCTCAGACCCGAACCTTTGAAAGCGGGAGACGTCCCAGGCGGATAAGAAGATGGCATTAGACAGAGAATCTAAAAGGGAGATTGTAATGAGAAAGATAATTATCACTGAAACAGAAGAAGTGTTCAAACAGAGAGTGAGGACATCAAATGGGAAGATCTCAGCCCATATTTTCATTAAGATCTTTGGGAGGCTGCATTACTTAGGGTATGTCTAGGCTACATGCCTCTGCCGACAGAGGCGTGTAAATTAGACTACCCGACATAGTCAATGAAGCGGGGATTTAAATATCCCCCGCCTCATTAAAATAAAAATGGCCGCCGCGCTGTGCTGGCTCAGCTGATCGTCGGCACAGCTCGGCAGTCAAGATGCGGCTCGGTCGACAGGGAACGCCTTTGTCAACCGCTCCTAAGGCGTTTCCTGTCAACCAAGTCGCCTCTTGATGATCAGCTGAGCCGGCACAGCGCGGCAGCCATTTTTATTTTAATGAGGCGGGGGATATTTAAATCCCCGCTTCATTGACTATGTCAGGCAGTCTAATTTACATCCCTCTGTCGGCAGAGGCATGTTGTCTAGACATACCCTTAGTGACTGAAGGTTCATAACGCGAGTCAGGACTCCTGGGTCCAATTCCCAACTTTTCCCCTGACTTTTTGCACGACACTAGGCAAATCACAGCAGCCTCCTTTTGTTTCCAGTTGCCCACCGATGAAAGATGGACAAGCATGCCCTCGTCGCAGGGTACTGCATCGGTGAATTGATTTATGCCTGGAAAGCATGCTGAGAGACTCATGGGTAGTATTATTTGTTAGCACTGGAATATCGCGCTTTGGGCACCCGGGCATTGTTTTGGAGGCACAACACAGCAGCAGCCTGCCTTCCAAATCATTACGAACTTTGCTTCCTTGGTATTGGGCTTTCCCCTTCCACGGGGCAATTTGCACCTTTGAGAACTCGATGGAGAGACCGACTGTGTCGGCTTTGTCACTGATTGGAGGCGATTTCTTCTGAGTTATGTCTGAACAACAATCACTTGCAGCTTGCAGCAGGGAAACCCAGACCGAACAGAGCTCAACTAAAGCAAAAGATGCTGGCAAAGGGAGGGTACAACCCTGGTGCCAATGGATATTTTGCCATTGGCTCCCACAGGGGAAGGATTCAGCTCTTGGAAAGAGACTAAACTCTAGGTCGAATGACCCAGGCTGCACCTGTGAATTCCAAACAGTTCCCAACGTGCCAAGAAGAGCTGGATACTCCTGCTGTGTCTGCATAGCCAGCTCCTCCTCGTCATAGACCCTTTTGATCGTCTAGTTCTTAATGTACAAGCCTTTGCTCCATCCCCAGGAGGCTGGCCCCGGTGGCTGCGACAGCACTTCCACTAGAAACCGAGGAACCGATCCTCCTCGCAGTAGACTCGTGTCAATCAAGTGTAGCCCCCATAGCAATCAGTAGAGCAACTCTGGATTTGGAGCAGCATATCTGAAATCGGAACCGGAACCCATGTCTTCAAAGCTGTGATTTTAAACCCTGCCTCTTTGTAATTAGATCTGCTACGCTAGAGTTCCTCCCCCCTTCTGCTGTAGCCGAAGAGGAGGCAGTCAGCAATCTGGAAAGCTTTTCTTTTTTGCAACTTTCATGAAATGCCGTCAACTAGCTGCATTCTTTTGAAACTTCCCTTTTCTGCTCCCCATGTTTGGTTCAATAGCCTCTGCCCCGTAGATCCTCTCAGAAAAGATCTCCTACCAGATGTCTCATCCTTTTAAATTGCTTCCCTTCCACTCCCCCACTCCACCCCAGTCTTTAGACTGTGTAGCTGCGTCTGGCTGCATTCCAGTCAGTCCCTCATTTAGCGCTCCAAAACCTGAACCGGTCTGACTCCCGCTCTGAATTATGAGCAGCACTTTTATTCAGCACCTTTAACTTTCAAGCCGAATGGGGAGCATCCCTTGTGTCTGTCGCGGAGCGTGCCAGCGGAGGAAAAACATCCCACCACGAAAGCTGAGCTTACAGCCATGCTCCGTTATTTTGTGCTACGGAAGGAAATGCTTAATGCCGGGGTTCCCTAACTTTTCCACTCGTGGGGCCACATCTTATTAGGGAGATTGAGGCGTAACCCCCTTCCCTCCCACTGGCAGTGGTATAACAACCTGGGGGTAACTACTTACAGGGAGGGAATTTCGGTTGCTTTTAATGGGATTCAGTAGCCGGGAACAAAAAGGAGGCACCTGCCCTCTGTGACAGGAGCATGCTCCATAGATCCACATGGGAAGGAATGCATTTACTCTGGGATTGGGATAAATTGGTCCTAAAGCTGGTCTCCCTCTGGCAGGGTAGCAGGGGTGCAGCTGTGATCCGAGCGTGTGGCCCTGCAGCGCTGGCAGGGGACCTTCGGGGCGGAAGATGAGCACTTTCCCCGTCACTAGCGTGAAAGGTCCAATTAGCCCGCTCCGGCAGGGGATGCAGCGTATCATCGGTCAGCAGTTAATGAGCGAGCTGATGAGCGCAGGAGATGCTGTACGTGGACCTGCCTGAAGAGGAGGTGAGTGCCTATAATCAGGGGCGGCGTCTTCCACGCTGTGAGCTGGGTTGCCTTTTTAAATAGCCACCTGGTTCTTTGCCATGGGGGCGGGTGGCTCCGTGAGAGTCTGAGTGCATGGTCCTGGCTGCTGGTGGAATCGCCAGAAGGCCCAGGAGGGGCGACCTGCCAGGGCTGTTGCTGTGGGTCCGGGGTGGAGCCAGGGTTTCCCGGGTGCAGAGAATTCAGAGCTCACCTCCGAATCTTTAGTGGGTGGCTCGGGGTGTATCCTCGGTTCCTCGTGCTGGTTTCATGGGCAGAGGGTGAAGCCCCCAGCCCCGCCCCTTCTGCCCAGGACCTGCCCCCATGGGAGCCAAGTCGCCTCCCCATGCCAGCACCACAGGGAGGTGTTGTGGCGCACAGCCCCAGCACCCCCACTACTGGGAGGGAGGAGGGCACGCGGCCCCAATCTCCCCGGCCCTGGAGTACAGCGGGTGCTTGGGGGCAGCAACACTCCACCCCCAGTAAACATACAGTAGGTGTTCTGGTCAGAGCCAGGCTGGGAAGGCAATGTCTGCTTAGAATACCTGCCACCTCGGGTGGATCCCTTGCCCACTGGCCATCTAGAGCCATAGTGTTAAATGTCTTATTTGTACACAATAATTCCGTGCTGGCAACAGATGCCCTGGGGCATGTTCTCGGTTATCTGCAGAGCGCAGGTAGAACGCAGCGTCGACAGCACGGCCAGCGTCCCCCATGCCAGCCCACCACTGCGACTCCACCCTGCCCTGGGGCGAGTCCCTGGTGGAGGGCAGAGTAAATCAGTCTCAGGCCCATTCAGCCTTCGGGCTCCCCGCTGGTGCTGGTAAGAGGGGTGCTAACGAATGACCGGGGAGTGTGGTCCCGAGACCTGGAGGGGGCATTTCAACCTGGTTCGCAACCGTCAGACGTCAGTGGCTTCGGATCGCTATGAGTTCCGAGCAGAAAGGTTTTGTGTCGCATCATCAATCCCAGGGCCGTCTGCGCAGCCGCCGGGAGCTGTCACTCTCAGCTCAAGCAGACAGACGCGCACGAGCGCCGCTCAAGGCAGTGGGCACAGCAGCATGGGCAGCAGCTGAGGCTGGCCACCTTAGTTCCTACCCCGGGGACTGGAGAGAGGGATGTAAAATCCCGTTTAATTAGTAAACCGGTTAAACTGTATGTTTAACCAGTTAATTGATTAAACAGGGACAGGGTGGGGTGGTAGAGGTTCTCTGACGGGGCTGGTGCGCCCTCCCACCCCTGGTGGGCCCCGAGGAGCTGGGGCAGCCTCCTGCCCCCGGTGAGCAGCCCCACTGGTTAACTGTAGTAAGCCTCACTCTCTTAATTGGAGAGGACTGGACTTTTAAAACTTTCCCCTCTTCACCACTGTGCAATGCAGAGAACATCTAGGAAAAAACAGAACGAGCGCCAGCAAAATCCGCCGAGGGTCAGCTCTTTCCACAAGGCGCGAAAGAGGTGGAGAAACCAGTTAAATTAGTGTCACGATCCCACGGTCCTCTGTTTGTCTTACCTTGCACGACTAGCCTTCCCTGGGCAGTTCTCCGCACCCTGGTGCCTGGCTTGTTAGCGGCGCACACGTAGATCCCAGAATGCTGCACCGTGAGGTCAGAAATCATCAAGTTTCCTGTCCCCAGGACCTGGATTCCCTCTACACCGATGGGGCGGCCATCTGGAAGAGGAAACAAGACAAAACGACTGAGTGGGCCTGTACGCTGAACTCTCTAGCCCACACACTGGGGAGTTAGCCCTGAGAATCACACTCCAGGGGAGTCCTTCCACTGACGTCAGCCACTGGTAGCTCAGGCCCAGCACGGGGCAACTCGAGCTATGCAGGTGACGTGGAAAAAAGCCAGTCCAAGAGCCTCAATTAAGCCTTTGCCCCCAATTACAATGTGTTTCATTACTATCAAGCTGTTGCATTTTTATTGTGCCTTTGGACTGTGTTTTAAGACTCCACGCCTGACAAACACGGCTCTAAACCAGCACTAGCCCTTGCATGTGCGGAGAGCCAGCTGGTTGTTTGCTGGAGGAGCTGCCCTTTCATCAGACGTGAAACTGGAATCCACTCCCCTTCTTCCCTTTGCATTTAGAAAGAAGCTGAAAAACCCTATAGAACCAAACCATGCAGGCCCAGTCTTGGGGTTCTTACCCCACAGCACACTCTCTCCAAATATTTGCTCCTCTATGTAGCAAAACAGTTTGTGTGTTGTGATTTAAAGGGCTATTGAGATAGAAAGACAAAAAAGGAACCTTTAAGCTCGCTATTAAGGAAAAATTCCTGCCAGTGAGTTATATTAGACTGTGGCGTAGTGGCCCCAGAGACCTCATGGAAGTCCAACAAAGCCTTTAAACATTGCGTAGGTAACAATCACTCACTGGCAGGGGATGAAACAATTACTTTCCATTTCTATTGGGCCAATCCTGAGATGTTTTGCACCTGTGACGCACATTGATTTGGCCCTATGATTCTAGGATGGACTTTACTCCAGTTGGATACATAATTATTGAAGTATCTTAGGCCATGTTTTCACTTGCCACGCTGGAGATTGATTTTTTTGGCGTTTGATTTAGCGGGTCTAGTCAAGTCCCTCTAAATCAAACACTGAAGGTGGCTCCAGTCAGCACCAGTACTCCTAGCAGTTGTGAATGGTGCTGCTTACAAATATCCAGGTCTGCATGGAGCATAGAGTAATTCCAGTGTCAATATTGACTGTAATCCTATGATGAGCAAGCTATGTGCAAATCAGTGTGGAAATGAAGTTTTTGATATTTAAATATGGCTGGGTCATGTAGCCAGACAGGCCACCCCTCTGTCACATCCATCTTGTTTGCCCTTCTGAGGTGCCTGCATACAGGGCAGAGAAGGAGCAATAAAAATCAGCATAGTCTTTGAAGCCTTGACAAGAGGCCCGGATATGCTGGCTCACCTGACCCTGGGTAAGCTGAAAACATAGATATGAGAGAAAGCAATCAAGTCAATAAGCTGACCTCGAGGCTGCGAGAACTGCCCTGGCTGGCACCTATATTGATACGATCACACACAGTCGTCCCTGGGAGAGGAATATCCCACTGAGAAAAGAATGCCCAGTACTCCCAATTTAGTTCTCTCTCTTACAAGTGTAAATTAAGTTCACAACTCCCTTGTAAGAACTGGCGTCACAAAGACGGACCAATACCATTTGGCATCACAGATAAGAAAGAGAAATACGTGACCCCACGGGTATAAAGATGGGTCCAGCAGCACACTCACTTTGAGTGCCAATCCACCCTTTTCCTGCTGGTCGGGTTAGGTGATTGGCCTCCCGAGGTTCCACGGGGACGCCCACCTCGTATTTCATCTTTCCGAGGAATTGAGGGACCGATCCTGGCCTGACATGCTGGGACTGAGCGACGCAGAAGGGGGTAAAAATTGTACCCATATGTGTCCCTTTGTTTTAGTGCATGCGTAGAATAGAGCTCTTTAAAGATTAAGCTGTCACTTGGTACCGTTATTTTCTATCTTCCTTTTTCCTTTGTAACCATTTTAAGATCTGTATTTGCTAGCAGTTAAGAAATAGAGCAATAGCCATTGTAACCATATGATTTATAAGCTTCCTTTAATAAACCTGTAAATGTTTAAGCTTTTAACCTGACTCCTTCAGTTGCTGTAACAGAACCAAGCACAATTTAAAAGAACTCCAGCCGGTCAAAAGGGACAGATACAGGCAGACCTGGGCATTTGGATCGTGTCGCTTCCAGAGGACAGATCCGTAGGGGCATCTCTCAGCCTTCCCTAGGCTGCCTTTTTTTTTTTTTTTTTTGGAAAAAACTTCACCTGCATCTAGACTACAGCCGCGTTCTTTCGAAATTAAATCAAAAGAACACAGCTCTTCTTTAGATGGCGGTACTCATTTCACAAGGAAGAATGCCTTTTTCGACGGAGATCCATCAACACGGACGTTAAACTTCTCGGGGTGCCAGTCAGCCTTCCCTAGACTGCCCGCTGCGAGGGGACCTTGTGTCCGAGCAGTTGAAGACTCGGGGGTAACACACACACACACACACACACACACACACACACACACACTGCCCTGACCATCGACTGACAGGTCACTGCAGTCAAGCAGCTGAGACCCCATATTGGCCAGGTCAACTCCTTTTAGATTCCCTCGTTTTATGCTGCTAAGTATCCCCCTAGTCCTGCAGTGATGAGTGCCCACAGCCCACTATTTATAAAGTTTATGTTAGCTATTGATCTTCATGCTTCAGGGAGAAGGATAGCTCAGTGGGTTGAGCATTGGCTTGCTCACTCCAGTGTTGAGAGTTCAATACTTGAGGAGGCCACTTAGGAATCTCAAGCAAATCTGTCAGGGATGGTACTGGGTCCTACCATGAGGGCAGGGGACTGGACTTGATGACCTCTCGAGGTCCCTTCCAGTTCTATTTTAAAACAAAAACAACACTGCTTAGCAGCTGGGGTCAGGAAGAAAATTCCTTCCATAATACAGTAGTGCATAATTAAAAGCTTTTATTGGGGGGGATGGAGAAGACATTATCCTACCTTTGAAGAATTCAGAGCCAACCACAGTCTCACAGAAAACAAACTAAATGGTCACATTGGGCGATTACAGAACAGTCATTCTTCCAGCAGAAAGGGACAAATAACTATCATCCAACCCAAAAGCCGCTTTGCAAGCCATCTGTGCTATATTGGGCATCTACCAATTTCTTCTGTTTGTTTCTACTTGTGTTTAGGCATGCCATCATGCCATTTCTTCCTTACTCCAGGAACTATTCCTTTGACACCAAAAGCAAAACCCCTTATCAAAGGAGCCAAACCACCAAGATAGCTTTGGCCATGTCCACTCTACGCGGAAGATCGACAGTGCCGCGGTCGATCCTCCGGGGTCCAATTTAGCGGGTCTAGTAAAGACCTGCTAAATCAAACTTAGAGGGTGCCCCTGTCGGTGCCAGTACTTCTGCTCCTCACGAGGAGTAAGGGAAGCCGACGGGAGCATTTGCTCCTGTCGACCTCCCGCTGAGTGGACAACGCGGAAACACGATTTAAGATACGTCGACTCCCGCTACGTAATTAACGTAGCTGGAGTTGCATATCTTAAACTTCCACTGTAATGTAGACCAGGCCCTTAAGTCTTCAATAACAGGAGCACTAACAAAGGACACTAGTTACGAGACCAAGTCTTGAAAAAAAATCACCAGGCCCTGCAGTGCATGTTCACCCATTAGAGCAGCAGAAATAAACCCTCTAATTTCAGATGGCACCTGAACAGAGAGTGGTGGGAAAAGCTACTATAGAGTGAAAGACACCAAAGAGGGGACATGCCCGTAAATTTACAGAAGCATCTGCTGCCCATTGTCTTTGCAACGTTTTACAGGAAATGTTCAACTCAAAGGTTTCATTGTTCCATCCGGCAGACAGAACCTAGCCACTTCATTATTCACATTACCATGAAAGGTGCACAGGTCTCTCAGATGGAGAAAAACAATGCCATTAACTAACAGGATGGCTGGCCAATGTGCTGCCGCAGTAAATTGCTCAGCCATAAAAAGGACAGTAAAACGCGACCTGTCCAGTGTTTAATGAGCAATAAGAAGGGTCCGTTCCTTTTGAATATCATTTAAACCGCACTGTAAGGAAGGTCTGAATTAAATTCAAATTGAACTTGATTTTTAAATTAGACATTTTTGAAACCCATATTTACAACAGGTGTAAAAATCAAATCTCTCTTGTGAGGAAGTATAACAGGTGAAATATGTGAGCCGGCTGTACCTGACAGGTAGCCTGCATGACTGTATAAATGAATTAAGAACTAATACAGAAATGTGACTTGCATGCCAGTTTGGGTTATTATGCTACTTACCACATGCTACATAATTTAAACATGCAAGACTCGGGCTGTGTCAGATTCACTGTGTAGTCTAAATATCAGTGTCTAGAGGTTTCTACGGCTGCCATCTCTTAATTAGAGGAGTGAGGATTTGGGGAAATTTCCCCTGCCAGCTAAGTTTATCTTTTATCCAAACAAAAAAATAAACAAAGTTCTCCCAGCTCATATTCCCCATTCAAGAAACAAGGTGGGTAAGGAGAACTGGGGAAGGTATTGAAGAGCTCTGTGTGGCTCGAAAGCTTGTCCAATAACAGATATCACCTCACTCACCTTGTCCCGCTAATATCCCGCAACCGACACGGCTGCAACTGCACTGCATATACCATGCAAGCCACACAAGTTCTGCAGTCGCTAATTATCATAAGAGGCAGTGTTTGCTGGCTCAGTGCACACTCCGTCTCCCAACATCTGATGAAACTCAAGTGCTTCAGCAGCACTCGGTAGTGCAGACACTTCCTACAGCGATGGAAGAGGTTTTCCGTCTCCATCGTAAATCCACCCACCTGAAGAGGCAGTCGCTATAGCGATGGAAGGAGCCCTCACTGCATCTATCCTGGGGGTGAGGTCGGCCTAATTGCATGGCCCAGGCAGAACATTTTTCACAGCCCTGAGCAACGTAGCTAGGCCGACTTACATTTTAGGGGTAGGCCAGGCTGCGCCTTTAAATGGCCACACATTCCTTACTGCCCCGCCCCTGCCAGACACAGCAGGGGAAAACTGTCCCCGCCCGGCTTCTGTCCAAGGGAAACAGGAAATACCGAACATTACACATGTCCAGTAT